TAAACCTGAACAACTGCACACAAAGACTCATTCTGAGAACAAGAAAGCAAGCTCGGATTGGTGTATGAGAGAAAGTCAGTGGTAATTGCACACGAAACGAACAAATCCGCCTAGTTGGTAGAATGAACACATTTTCTCAACACTTTCGGACATATTAAGGTTGATCGCTTTTTGGTGAATTGGCGTAGAATTGATATCCGCTTTATCATAGCTGCGCTTCGACACTGCAACACCACCTTGGGCTTTCTGATTCTTAGCCTTATTGATCAGATATCCGTACTACTTTACATTCTCCTCAGCTATTTTTAAGTCGCTTTTTATTCTGTTTGGTAACTCTATTTATGTATCTGTTGCCGAAATAGGGCAGATGTTTGCCAGTAATCCAAGATACACTGATTGCTAATCGGTAGAACCTGCAACAGGCGGGAAAGCCAAAATGAGCCGTTGCATTGTGTACATATCATTCATCTTAGCCACACGTCTGAGACCCGGGGGGACAACCACGTTTTCAAGTGTTAACACGTGTACTTACTTGTTTGAAATTCTGGTGTACTGTACCAAATTTCTGCCCGCCGCTTCATCAGTCAACGCAGAATAGGCCCACCGACACGATAACGAGCGAGTAGTTGTTAATCGGTTAGGTGAAAAGCTGTCAAAACTTAGTTGGATGTGGTCCAAAAAAGTGAGTGTATGTAGCCCGAATAGTTGCTCATTTATCTTGCTACATAGGAGATTTCGATGAGTTCGCACTGCTATGATTCTCCCTCCCGAATGACGGTTTGTGCCTTTTGCCGTCACACATCAATGTGCAATTGCTTGTTCCGAAAGGCGGAAGGCTTACTTGACGTCAAGTTTGCTCCTACCTACTTCGACTCAAGTCCGATTATTTATTCTATTCATGATTTAGTGAGAAGTGTGATATTGTATATGGAAACCCCGTGAAAGAGAGAGCTTCAATATAATTCTAAATTCATTACTCAGATAGGTTCATAAAGATTACAAACATTAGTCTTGGCTCACTACTGGAATTTATGAAGCGATTACAAGCGTACTTTGAAGCAGCAGCTATCAAGCCACAAATGGCATGAATATCGTCAATCATAAATTGTGAGTGATGCATTACTCCCAGTTACGGCGCTGTCTCCGTCGTGTTTGATCAGAATTATTTTGTTTTAATCTATTTTCTTGAATAATTTGCCTCTGGATTGTAAATGAAGTTCAATCTTTGCATAGAAGAAACAGAAGCACTTGTCCACGTCCTGTTGTTGTTTGTGCCAAAGAAAGTGTACGTGCTGTGCCTAGAAAACCGGTTGCTGTATAAAGTGACAAAATGAAACGAACTGGAGGCTGAAAAGTGCATGCATTGTGCCTGTTCGATTATGCATCCTTGTTTTCTGGAACCGCGGAAAAAAAAGCTCCAGACGTTATACTGACGCACATTTTTCATGATTTTCACTTGCTATAGAAGGCAATTCAATAGCTATAACTCAGGTTGCATTTAATAGGATTGATGAGAAGTCGTCGACATACTATTATCGATTTACTTTGGCAGTTTTCACAGCAACTGGGATGACTTGTGTTTACTACTTATGCGTAGTTTTCGAATACAGTGTTAAGGATTAGCAAAACCATTTGGAGAACGATAGAAAATGGCACGCTGATTGCATTAGAAGGAAAACAGTTGACCATTACGAAGCAATTCGCAGTTGTACAAAAGTGAGTGCAATATCTTTTGGCGTTTTTTGCGCGCCTTATCGAAACTCTGCCTGAATTGGCGAAAAGGGTCCAGAGGTTTTGGGATTTCAATATCGGACGCGTTCTTACCCCAAGAAGAGCGCTGCAAGATTTTTTCTCATGAGGAGAATAGTGTGCTGTACGTAGTTTGCAACTTGTGAACTAGTGATTCCTTCAAGGCTTCAGAAAATCTCAATCTTATACAGACATTCTAAAAAGTCACATTATATAATGCAGTTGATCACTTACCCTAAATACGTCTTGATATTTCTACAAATTTGTAGCCAGAAAAGAATTCTTGGAAGTTAAGTCTTCTGCACTCATCACAGGGTAGAATTTGAGCAAGGGTTTCCAGGAGCTTTCCCAGTTCCTTCACTTTTGGTGAAATCCCAAGACAATTGAGTCTTTTACACACGGAGGTCAGATCGACCGAATCTGATGAAGGCCGACAAATAAGAGGTTAGATGAGCAAAACAGCAAGTTTACAGTCACTACACATTCACGTGAGCTAGTGGCCAATGGTACTGAAAGGCTGTATCAGGAACGGTTATTGGTTAACTGATATCCAACTTTGCTCAGATCATTTCATTTTGATTGTCCGACGTTCTTGTACATTGAAATGCTTGTGAGAAACTAAATATGAATTACCTGCAAATGAGATAACTTTCTAGTTCCAAAGCATTCTTAAGCTTAGTAGTTCACAAGTCTGTCATTTAGTTTGTAATTGCAGAGAGGAACTACCGCATTCTGTGTGTGCAAATCAGTTGTTATCAGCTTTCGCTTAGTTTTAGACGAACGAACCCTTCAAATAAATGTTCACTACAGTGCAATACATTTTGATTAGTACAGTCAACTTCACTGGGCGCATTCCTCCCAGCTGTTTTGTTTTCTGTAAAAAAGGTACATAAGTCATAGTGGGTTACGTTGCTGACCAACTTATTTACGGCTGATGCAAAGCGTTTAAAATTTGAATATAGGATGACAAGTCGTCTCGCCATAATTTGTAGTCAGATAGACCATTCACCACTCGAAATGGTACCTAAAATAATGTGATGTCTGAACTAAGTGAACCAACCTAGCTTTAAGTGCCCAGGAGCTACCTATGTAAGTTTCAGCCACTGCAACTTTGCTTATTCACGCTTACTCTTCCCTCATGGATTCAAGGCTTAAACCTTTAACCGGACACACAGGAGCTATTGTATGGATTTTATATACAGTTTTTAATATTCTAAGTCACTTGAAAAGAATTAAAAGCTATTAAGTTTATTACTCTAACAGTTCTGGATATAAAAAATGGGACCACAATTAGGAGTTAAGTGAGCGATGATTTCGTCCATTTCGCAAGGAACCCCAGAAAAACAAAAAGTAATGACCAGAATCGTATCAAATTTTTCGATATAAATGGTCAGCCGTTTGAAGAGGTTTTGCGTTGCCATTAGCACACACGAATACATATTGAACTATGTGTTATACTTCTGAATGCCATGCCTGGCCCGAGGAAACAGGAGGGTACGAGGTAACAAATGAAAAATTACTTCATTTAAGAAAAGAATGAATAAATCATGGTCATTTGGCTGCTGAGGTTTAATCGCTCTAAGTGGCTATAACAAGATCACATTGGTTGATCCACTGAGAGTATGTCAATTTTTATGCACCCCATGACTGTTTCGATATTCGGTTAGATTGCTTGTGATTGTGAATGGGCCATAAGAAACATACCAGCTGCGTCGGTGAATAAAAGGAAACATTTAGCGAGAAAACGACTAGAAAATCTATATTCCTTAAACGACTGTGTCCAGGTAGGTAAACTGATGCAGAAACTCTATGAAAAATGATAATGGGCGCAACCACATACTATCCATATATTATTTGAATAGTTATCAATAACCTTAGTATGACTTGTTGAAATGGTGTCCGCACTCGGTTCACCTTTGCCAGAGATTTCCCTTGAAGTCCGTTTATGAAAATCCTATTTTTGAAGCGGTATATGTATTACAATGGCTGGGACTTCTCCAAAATTTTTCAAAAAAGATTCATGAGACTCACATGCATGAAATACAAGTTTATAAACAATGAAATCTCGTTTGATGTGTTGCGGCGAAACCATGCAACACTATACCTAGCCAGAATATAATGGGCTTGCTAAAAGCAAATTTCTCCAAGATTTCGAAGTCAAATCATACAAGCAGATCTATCTTACGATACTGTATTATATCTGAGGTATCAATTGAGGCTTCAATCAATGTACCTCTACCTCATGCAGGGTTGTCGAGTTGCAAGATCCGCATAATGGTGCAGCACAGAAAGAGCACGCGACTCTGACCTTGTTGTGGTGTGCCGATCGTCGAAGCTGCCTCGTTCGTTGAACTGGTTGCTCTGAGATAAGTAGCTATTCAATAGTTTATTCACAATGTTTAAACAGATTTGTTTCGGTGCTGAGCGCTTCACCTATCAAGTCATAACAGTATATCAAATACATCCCCCATTAGTCCAGTATGTTAAACTAACCATATGCTCCTGATCCATGTAACATGAAATTCCTATTTTGTATGATTTTGGTGAACAAAACAGACACATACGCTACACATATCATGTTCACATATCATGTGAAGGGGGCAGTAGTTTTCTAGGCAAGCATTTCCAGCTAATATGTCATTAACATTGGGTAGATACGGTGACAAGAGAAGCCACCAGTTACCACGACTGACGAAGCCCATTAATCCAGGCACTAGCGATTGGAAAAATCTAATTATGGACCCACTATTTATTGTTTCAATCTGATGTCCATCGATAAAGAGGCGTTGAATCTTATAAACATTCACTGAAGTCCTCTCGAGGTACTGAAGTTTGGTTTATGTGCGATTGAATTTTTCCAATCGACCTTCAATTGCGCCAGACGAGTGCAGCCTACAAGGAGCAAGTGTTACTGCACGAACTGTTAGTTAATGATCGCACACAAGATTCAATCTGCAACATGCCAGTCTGTGTTGAAGATGTCTCCCTATAGGTCTACCGACAAATTCCGAATGTAGGCACGTACATGTCCTCAGAATTATCAGCTTCATCAATTGAGAGAAAAAAATGGAGCAGAATGATAATAATCTGGAAAATTTGCGAAATTTTGTGTGATTATCACAACTATTAAACATCATTAGAGTCTTAGGTGAGAATTAGGATTCCACAAAAATTTTGGTCCTTCCAGCACACATCCATATTGACAAACAAACCAAAGTCAAGGTAAAACAGGGGAATCATTTTCACTCACCTGAATCACCTGTGGGAAAAAACTTCTCAAATAGTGTTTTGATTGCAGCCTGGTAGTAGAATAATTGTTTGGCCAGTTCAGGATTGGACTTTGGAGAAAAAGAAAAAACCATTTTCAGCTTCTTATATTTCAATCCAGTAGCATAATACTAAATTTTTTCCTTGCTCCCATTTGAACGCATGTGCGTCTTGATTGGTCACGGTTGCTTACGAAAAACATTTGTGCTTGTTGAACAATGCTCTTCATAATTCATTTGTTAGATGAGTGGTCATATTTTCTAATCAGTTATGCAAGTGAAGCCCGATTGTTTAAAATTTGAATCTTCATGAAGGCTTAAAACGTTATGTTCTATCTAATCAGAGACTTCAGAAGATGCGATTGAACATGGGCTAGAACGCAACAGCAATTGACATTTCTAGTCCTCACCCATCTCTTCATACCATAAAGTCTAGCTTAGGTAAATAAACCAGTGAAATGGTTCTGGTACTACTTAGTGATATCGAGACCCAAGGACAGAATCTGCGGACGAAATCCTCAGCTTCGACAACAATGAGTCTAATACAGACAGTCATATTACTTGGGCTTCTTACGGACACCAAACTCCTGAGTATTGAAAACTCCGGCGAGTGAGTAAATTCAATCGTTTCTGCTGCTACCTGTATTTGGGAAGGAAGAGTGAATGACAGAAGAATCTTCAAAAATCCCTATAGAGGATCATTGTTCTACAAGACAGCCTTCTTTTGGAATTGTTTTGGATAGTATAAGCCGAACGAAGCACCTCTTTTGTTTCATGAACATTTTAGGCCTTTCATTTGGACTTCCTTTGTGAGACTTTTACTAATTATATTCTATAGTCACATTTTGACCGTTGTCACCGAATAAAAGTTACCAATATAACCGGAAAGGCAAGAACTGCAGTCTTTTTGGACCAACACTGGATTGCAATGTCATTAACAAATTTCTAGTGTCCATCATTCTATCTAATGTGTGACGGATGAAATCACCAAGAATAACAAGATTAGTCATTCACGAAGCTCACGAAGCCGTACTATTGGGTTGTTTTCTGGGATGAGAATATCATATTTCGGACCGGAATGTCTGACGGAAACAAAATTTAATCTAGTTGGGTTCTGGAAACCAAAGGATGTAGGTAGAACTTTGGAGGCGCTTCAGGGCTGATGATGTGAGCTTAGTGGGTAAGGGTACATGAAATAAAAGAGGCCGTTTTGCGAGTCATTGACCAAATAAGCATGTGTGTGGGCACAAGAAACCTGAAATTTCTCCCAAGGCAGGTTTGTATTTCACGACAAACTCTAAAATGGAGATGAGCAGGACGCCATATAAACCAAGATCTTAGTCGTCATTTTTCAATTTTATCGTGTGACGCCACCTTAATGATTCGAAGGAAAATCATTTAATGGCTCTCAGTAGTTGCACAATGGAGTTGAATTTTCAAAAGCTATGACATGTCCCTGATAGACTAAAGAAGTCGGACAATCGGATTCATAGTATCTGTCTAAACTTTTGAGCGCCATTTAGGCACCATAGGGTTTTAGCGATTCTGAGGAATTATTCCACCAGACTTTTCCGCCAGAGGTATCATTGCCTCAGTGGACAATGAAATTTGGTGAGCTGAAAAAAAATGTGCGTAGATTAAGATGGTTTTTGGTTTGAGCACATGCGCAACAAAATGCAACATTTTGGCGCAAAAAGGTTTACTCCACACTTAAAGGCTTTGCAGCTAATAGCAATGTGCGCCTAATGGACGACATCTAATCAGCTCATTGATACAATGTAAATGGCGGGCCTTAAGAACTGAAGGGGGTTTGACAGTGTCTGACGATCAGATTGAAAGCCCCGTAAATGTGTAACACTAAACGCTTATGCTGACTTTAGCAATCGAGTGCGACCACGATATAAGACACAGGATTTGACATCGCTGTAGTTTGATTTCTTGTAGGTTGGAAGTTACTGAGAACACAATAACCGTGGAACTAGACAGAGAGTGCCAGCAATTGAACTGGAGAAGGCTAGAACAAGCCAAGCGTTTGAGGGAGCAACACTGAAAGACACCATGGTAGAGCTTGTTCCTCATTTCATCCGGAGAATTCAATAAAACCTAACATACCCGAAGAATTTTCAGCAACCTTATTTGTTTTGTACCACTAGGGTGACAAGTTCGATGGAGACGCCAGACAGTTCCATTTCTTACTCTAATACACTCCACCGAGTTAGTGATTATTGAAGCCCGCCTGCCGCTTTGTGACCTAGAACATGACGGGCGCCCATAGAGTATTTCGAAAGCAGTCGAAAACTTCGGAGCTTCATTCGCTGCGTACCAAATGCCTTAAACGGAACTGAATCAATCATTTACCAAAATCTATCAGCAGTAATGAATTAGACGGTTAATTTGGGTGAAAACGAATGCAATAGAAGACACGATACAGATTACCTGTTATTGGGGCGGTAGCTTGATTTGCTGTGATTCTTTCAGTTTTTATCGCTCGGCTTGACAAATATACAATAACACATATTATGGATGGCATCCGTTCTGTCCACATGGTGAACAGAACAC